GTTGTGCTGGTAGCTTTAGTGTGGTCTTGTTTGTAAACATTTGGGTAAATATCCAAAAGAGGGATTACTGGGTCATAGGGGAGCTCTCTGTGAAGTCTTTTGAGGAACCTCCATACTGCTTTCCAAAGTGGTTGAACAAGTTTACACTCCCACCAACAAGGAAGTAAGGTTCCTTTCTGTCCACATCCCCTCCAGCATCTTACAGAGGTTTTCTGACAAAGATTTTCCTATATTGGGCTTCTTTCCTGGGTGAATGTTTTCATAATTGCTGAAGGTTGGCTTCTGGTTGAAAGACTTCCTCTCATGTTTATATTTATAGAGTTTCTGTAATGTGTCCAGGTCTCTGATACCTGTACAGATGGGACTTCTGGCAAAATGTTTTCTATACTCATAATTTCTCTCCTGTGTATGCTCACATATGCTGAGGATTTAATTCTGATTGAAAATCATTTCAAAAATGTTCTGTGCACTACTTTCATTTCTCCTATGTGAGTCAGTTCTCTGATGAACATGCGGTATTCCTTTCAAATCAAAGGCTTTCCAGATTTGTAATATTTTTAAGATTACTCCGCTGTATGTGTCCTATGAACCTGGATCTATGACTACTTGGTAAAGCACTATCCACATTTTTTTTGGGGGGGTCCGGTTGTGGGGCCTGAACTCTGGGCCTGGGCGCTGTCCCTCAGCAATTCAGCTCAAGGCTAATGCTCTACCACTTGAGGCACAGCGTCATTTCCAGCTTTTTTCCTTTTGCTTATGTGGTGTTGAGGATTGAACCCAGGTCCTCATGCACGCAAGGCAAGCACTCTACCACTGAGACACCTTCCCAGCCCCCTATCCACATTTTTTACATTTATATTTTCTCACTTGTGTCTGTTCTCTGATGCAAACTGAGTTATGACTTTTTCTTGAAACCCTTTCCATTTATTTTTCCTACATATGATTTCTCTCCTCTTGTTGTGTGAGTGGGTGTGTGTGTGTGTCTGTGTGTTTTGTGATGAACCCTGAGCTGTGTCTTCTAGTTGGAGGACTCAACATCTGCTATACCATAAGGTTTCTATGCTGTATGGGTTCTGTGTTGCAATTTCAATTTTCTGAGAGATGAAAGACTTTCCCCACTTGGTACGATCCTAAGTTATTTCATTTGTGTGCATCAACTTATGTGTATTTAGCCATGAACTCTGCTTACATTCATAAGGTTTCTGCCCTTATGTTCTGTGATGGATGTTAAGGTGTGCCTACCAGGTGAAAGAATTTCCATGCCTGCTACATACATAACATTTCTCTCTGGTGGGGATTTTTCTGGTGGACAGAAAAGTATATATTCTGAGTGAAAGAATTTCCACATAGGTTACATTCATAAAATTTCTCCTGTGTGTACTCTCTGGTGGACAGTAAGGTCTGGCTTCTGGCTAAAGACTTTCCACACATATGACATTCATAAGCTTTCTTTCCTGTGTGTTTTCTGATGTACAGTAAGGTTTGACTTCCAGGTAAAACACTTTCTACACATGTTACATTCATAAGGTTTCTCTCTTGTGTGTGTTCTCTGGTGGCGAATAAGGGTTGACTTCTGGGTGAAAGAATTTCCACAAATGTTACATTCATAAGGTTTTTCTTCTGTGTGTGTTCTCTGGTGGAGAGTAAAGTATACCTGCTGTCTAAAAGACTTTCCACACATATGACATTCATAAGGTTTCTTTCCTGTGTGTGTTCTCTGATGGGCAGTGAGCGATGACTTCCAGGTAAAAGGCTTTCCGCACAAGTTACATTCATAGGGTCTCTCTCCTGTGTGTGTTCTCTGGTGGAGAGTAAATTGTACCTTCCTGGAGAAAGACTTTCCACACAAGTTACATTCATAAGGTTTCTCTCCTGTGTGTGTTCTCTGGTGGAAAGTAAAGTATGCCTTCTGGGTGAAAGACTTTCCACATGTGTTACATTCATAAGGTTTCTCTCCTGTGTGTATTCTCTGGTGGACAATGAAGTTTGACTTCCAGGTGAAAGACTTTCCACACATGTTACACTCATAAGGTTTATCTCCTATGTGTGTTCTCTGGTGGCCAGTAAGGCCTGGCTTGCCAGAAAAAGACTTTCCACACATGTTACATTCATAAGGTTTCTCTCTTGTGTGTGTTCTCTGGTGGACAGTAAGGTGTGTCTTCCAGGTGAAAGACTTTCCACACATGTTACATTCATAAGGTCTTTCTCCTGTGTGTGTTCTCTGGTGGCCAGTAAGGTTTCGCTTCTGGGTGAAAGACTTTCCACACACGTTATATTCATATGGTTTATCTCCTGTGTGGATTCTCTGGTGGACAGTAAGATATGCCTTGCAGGTGAAAATCTTTTCACACATGTTACATTCATAAGGATTCTCTCCTGTTTGTGTTCTCTGAGGGAGAATAAGGTGTGTTTTCTCGGTGAAAGACCTCCCACACTGTTTATATTCTTCAACTGCAGAAGACACATGAGGTCTATATGCAGCACATATCTTTCCAGGTTCACTGAAAGCATCCATGTTCTGACACCCAGTGAGCTTTTCTGTCCTCATCCCTAAGGAGTTCCCATTATTCTTAATCAGTTCTGACTTCTGTTTTGAGCTCAAATTAAAACTTCTTATAAGTCTCACTTTTTCCTCCCCTCGGTTACTAGTCAGGACTGCTACTTCAGATAGATATTCATTGTGATTTTCCTGACAGGTGCCAATCACATCCTCCATTTCTTGGACATCTAAAATGAATAATAGAAAAATAGACAAAAACATAAATGAGATCCATAAATTCCTTAATGTAAGGATATTTCCTCACATTCTGTTACAAGATTTTCAAATATTAAAGCATTGTTTTATGCAGAATATATACTTTTCTACACAATGTAGTAATTAAGAAAGTAGTACTGCCATTTTGCAATAGAAAACAATGTTTTCTGTTTTTCAGATTTTTCTATTTTTATCCAAGAAATATTTACTCAAATTATTCATCTATGTACTCTTAATGCTTCAATTCTGAATCTCACTCTATGCCCAGCACCACTGACAAGAAATTGTCCTGATCAAAGGATAGCAGCCCTATCATACTCCTATTTTCTGCCTACCTTCATCATACTAGTTTAAAAGAAAATGAGTTCTCCTTTTCTACATTTCTCATTGTGTTTCTTTCTTCAAGAATGACTTCTCTAAAGACAAGAGAATTGCTAACATTAACTACACTGGCATACCAAATTCAGTTTGTCTCCACGTGAATTCTGGATTGACAATTCCTTGAGACAAAGGATCACTTACTTCTCTGCCATACATGACTCAGCAGCACTAGGAATACTATTGCTCTGTACAGCTCAAGTTAAACAGACCAACTGGGCTCTGGACCCATCATTACCATTCAAGATGCTTTAACTCACCTGTGAAATTCTCTTCTGAGCCTTCTCTTATCCATGGTTCTGCACCTTGCTCCAGCTTGACAATCAGTTTAGGCTTAGGAACACAGAGCCCTGTGATTAAGAAATAGTGGAGAACTATCGCTCTTGCTGGGTCATCATTAATGTAAGGTCGCAGACATCCTGTTTCCAAGGTTGCTACTAAATCTTATTTCTCAATTGTTTTTTTTTGGGGGGGGGAGTGTTGGGAGTCAAAAGTTAAGTCTCTCAACATAATAGGCTTAACTATCTCACTGGAATATCTTGAGGCTGAGTTTACAGAATCCCACCTTTTCACCCCGCCTTAAGTAAACACCCTGCAGCTACTAACAACCACCTTTTCACCTTGCCCTAAGCAAACACCCTGCAGCTGCTTTGGCCAATGAAAAAGCTTACTTATTCTAAGCATATAAATACCCTTGTGTGAAAAATAAAAATTGGCAGCTTGATCAGAATCCCTGTCTGGGTGTCATTCTACCACTTGAGCCACAGTGTCACTTCCAGCTTTTTTTTCTGCTTATGTGGTAGTGAGGAATCAAAGCAGAGGGCCTCAAGCATGCAAGGCAAGCGCTCTACCACTGAGCCACCTTCCCAGCCCATGGTTTCTCAATTCTTAACAGCCCAATTGTGGAGTTTCCCCAGCTTTGGTTTATTGTGCCAATTGTGTGGCTTGAACTCAGCTCTTTTGCTCAAAGATAGCATTTTACTAGTTTGAATCTTAGCTACATTTCTAGTTTTGAATGGTTAATTGAAGATAAGAGTCTCATGGTCATTTTTCTGCAGTTGCTGGCTTCAAACCAAAATCTTCAGATTTCAGCCTCCAGAGTATCTAGAATTCAAAGCTTGAAGCACTAAACTCTATATCGGGTTTGGCGTACAAATACACACTTTCAACTACTGATTTCCACATCATAATCAGTAGTAATGTATATTCTGTCTAGACTGCAGATCCACCTCAATAATCATTCCAAGTCTGGGAAGTCAGTCTCGTATTAGTGGAACATAGTTTAGGATTTTTTTCCAACTACTGATTTGCTTTCTTAAATAGTGAGAATAAAATTAGCTCTTGAGTTACATATAATCAAGTTGAAGTTTCCCTTAGAAAGAAATGACACTTCCCATGGACTGGAATCTTATCTCTAAATAACCTAAACAGTCTAATGTCTAATAAAATAAAAACACTTGATCTTCCAAGTAAAAATCACCTTTGCTCACCCAAGGACATGAGGTTGCTATAGGTCTCCAGCATCACATCTCTATGAAGGGTCCTCTGACCAGGATCTAGATCCTGCCACTCCTTCCAGGTGAAGTCCACAGCCACATCATCAAATGATAAATTCTGCAATGGCACATGTCCATCAAGAAATCAGACCTGGGTTATGAGAACTCCAATCTGGAATTTCATTATGCTGCAGGTATGCTTTTGTCTTACATAAAATGTTTGCAGCTTGCTGTGTTATCTATTCACTGGGAAAATTAAATAGCAAATTAGAAATATTGGACAATATATAAACCTGGTCATTAAAATACACAGATTTGTAGGGTGCTGGTGGCTTATGCGTGTAATCCATGCTACTCAGGAGGCTAAGTTCTGAGGATCATGGTTCAAGGCCAGTCCAGGCAGGAAAGTCTATGAGACACTTATCTCCAATAAACCACCAGAAAACTGAAATTAGCACTGTAACTCAAGGGGTAGAGCACTCACCTTGACCCGAAGAGCTGACTGACAACAGCCAGGCCCAGAATTGAAGCCCAAGACCAATAAAAAATTACAGTTTCCCTAATGCATGCAAACACATTTCTGCTGCTAGCAATAGAGACAAGGTAAAAATTCTATGGACAGCTGGGAAGGTGGCTCAGTGGTAGAGTACTTGCCTTGCATGCATGAGGCAGTGGGTTCTACTCCTCAGCACCACATAAGCAAAAAGAAAAGAGCCAGAAGTGGCACTATGGCAGAGGTGGTAGAGCAATAACCTTGAGCTGAAGAGTTGAGGGACAGCGCCCAGGCCCAGAGTTCAGCCCCAGGACCAGACCCCCCCGCCAAAAAAAAAAAAATTCTAAGGAGACAATAATCTGTCATGACAACAATAAGCCTAAGGCAGTATCTTAAAAATTATATTATCATTTTTTGATAAAATTTTAGTACATATCAGGGTAACAATGAATTACACAAATATTTTTCCTGCATTTACATGTACTACATCACCGTACATTCTATTTAGATCTTCTATTAACAAGTACTATAATAAGCAAACAGAACAGATTCAGAATATCACATGGAATACAGAACATAGAACATGACCAGATCTATGAAAAGCAGTGTCCACATGAATGTTAAAAAACAGTAGCAGTATTGCAGAAAGAAGCTAATGATTTTTTGGGCCCTTATAAGATTTGATTTAGTTCCCATATAAAAATATCCTAGGTTGGGCTGGAAAGGTGGCTCAGTGGTAGAGCGCTTGCCTTGCATGCATGAGGTCCTGGGTTTGATTCCTCAGCACCACATAAGCAAAAAGAAAAAGCCCGAAGTGGCGCTGTGCCTCAAGTGGTAGAGTGCAAGCCTTGAGCTGAAGAGCTGAGGGACAGTGCCCAGGCCCAGAGTTCAGACCCCATGACTCGATTTCCCCCCCCCCATAAAAAGAAAAAAATATCCTAGGTTAACCATGTTTGGTTTAAATACTAAATATTGAAATGTGGTCATAGATACCCTGATATTTCCTTCCTACATAAAAAAGAACTGCTACCATGAAGTTTTGTAAAGTTTCCCCACAATACAAAATATAGGTAGGAGGGGAATAAAATGTTCATTGACAAGATTTTCATTTTAATAGGCCTTCATGGAAGGTGGAGGCAAATTTATGCAGGGTCAAGGAACACTCAAGGTGACAAAAATGATAAATATGACCAAATGATCAAATGTGGCACATATTCCTGAGTCATTTCAACAGTAGATTGCTAAGGATATATTTCCACTTTTGTTAGTTAATAGTGAAATTCCTCAGAGATCAAAATAAATTCCGGAGCAAACATCTGTGAGATTTTGCAACAAGTGATATTTCTAATAGAGAAGACCTCATCACAGTATTATTTTTTTTTATCAAAAGTACTTCAAATCTTAAACTGGCAGTAAATTAAAATATTCAAAAATAGTGGGAAGGAAAAACAAAACTGAATACCACATCAAATGAAGTTAGACCAAAGATAACAGAAGCAGGAGAAATCAGATTTTCTTGTAGAGTATCAATTGGGGGAAGGAACTACTTTTCTGTATGGAACTCTGAAGTTGAGCTGAGGGGGAAAAGGATGGAGAGGTTGGAATTCCAGCCTCACAGCACTGAGAGCACTGAGAGCTGGCTGCAGAAGGCTTAAAAGAGAATTCTGCAGAGGGTTCAGAAACTGGAGTGCAGGCCTTTTCCTTAGTCTTGGAAAGATAGCAGCTGAAATTGAGGTGCTGTTGACCTTGAGGGCTAGGTAAGGTGAACGTCATGTCTGCATTTTCTCTGGGTACCAGTCTTCTGTCTCAGGAGAATAAGGAAATATGTTTTCCCCACAACCGGTTGTGGCTCTGATTGTAATATTAATATAGATACTTCATTTTTACATGTTATCAATAGTAATCTTCCCTATGTGCACTCAAGGAAATATTCTTGCTTGCTGGCACCCAGGAACCAAGTGCCAGAGAGCCTTCAAAACCCTAATTTCCCCTAAGTCTATCTGTTTATGTTTTTGTGTTTCTCTAATTGTCTTTGGTTCTGGAATCCTGTAGAACTCTCTAGGAAACAATTTTCCTATACAATGAGTAAGAAAAATGCTAATCATAAGAGCCACGTCAGCAAAGTAAAACTGATTACTAAGAAAAACTAGCTCCCAGATATATCATTTGAAGAAAAGAAACAACTGAGACACATATGGAGGAAAGATGGAATGCAAAAAGTAAAAAAAAAATGATTCAAAGATAGATACAAAGAGTGAGGAAGAGAAAAATAACCAACACTAGTGAGTAGAAAATCAAGAATGGAGGGAGAATATAGAGGAAAGGAATCTTGTGAGGATACTTTAGAAAACAGGGTTTTGTAGAAAGACCATAAAGTTAACAACAAATATAGTTTCAAGTAAGACCAAGACCATGAAGTAGCTCAAAAAGTAGATATGGAGATTAATTTAAGGACATATAGGTTAATCATTCCTTAAGAACACATGAAGTTCTGTGTGACCAGACTATTTCAGCAATTCCAGGAAAATGTCATTGAATTAGTTTAATGTTACTCATGAGGATGTGATCTGGTTGCAATCTATCCTTCACCTTTCATGAGATATAACCTCCTTGGTGTCATTACATCACATAACAAGTGTGAATCAACTTTATGACAACACAAAACATAGACATTCTGAAACAAATCTTCACTCAACTTAGAATGAATAAAACCATTTAATCTGCTAAATCTACAAGCCATCTTTATCTGATTTAAGAATATGTTCCTGAGGCTGAATCTGTGTGGCTGGTATTGTTTTCAATTCTTTTTTTTTGGTGGGGGGGTCCAGTCAAAGGGCCTCAACTCTGGGCCTGGGCGCTGTCCCCCAGCTCTTCAGCTCAAGGCTAGCAATCTACCACTTGAGCCACAACTTCCAGCTTTTTTCTTTTTCCTTATGTGGTGCTGAGGAATGGAACCCAGGTTCTCATGCATGCAAGGCAAGCGCTCTACCACTGAGCCACCTTCCCACCCCCTTGTTTTTTAATTCTTGAACATCTTTAGGTTTATATAATGGAATGGAAAACAAATGAGAAATAAAAATTGAAAAAAAAAACTCACCAGAGATCCTTTCATTCTTTCTTGCTGCTGACAATGAACAGAAGATTCTGGAAGGATGGCTGAGATATAAGGCAAATGACATATTCACAAAAGAATCTGTATTTTGCCCCAGAATTTCCTCTTGCAAACATGATACATGGTCTGGAAAAGCATAAAGCTTTCTAATAAGTGAAGAATCTTTAATGTCTCAAGAACATTAATGTCTCCTATAATCACAAATCCAGCCCCTTTCCTGGTACATAGATATCATTAAAGCAACTAATTTCCATGTTTATACACTCACTAAATTTGTAAAAATGAAAGTTCCCCCCCAAAAAATGAATAATTGAAAGCAAAAACATGTCACATTTGCACTAAAAGTAGTTATTACTGAATGTACTTCAGGATGTATGAATTGCTTTCTTTTAATGCAAAGGTATCCTAGGAATCCATTGGAGTTTATGTGCTACCTCATTGATGTACATATTTAAACTCTATGGAATGCATGTCTGATATGACTTAGTAGTTTTTTTTTATCAAATGTTATAAAGGAAAATATATACAGAACATATTTGTGGTGTGATCTTATTTCAATAATGATTGTCAAATGGCAAATTTCACTGTACCCACTGCACACCTATGCAATGACTTGTAATTTGACATTTAGCATGCTTTGGCCACAGGAACATGAGTAAAGATGATGTAAACCCAGGTTTGAGAAGTTTCTACTGGTCACTTTCCTAAACAGTCATGGGAAGAACCTTGGCCATCCTACTGGAGATACAGGGCTAAAAAAATGTACAACATAAAATACACAATATAGGAGTGATACAACTGATGATAGGCAACATCTACAAAGCATACAACCTTGAGAAGACATATAACCCCAAGGTTTCTTCTGTGATTTTTCTTATAAGACCAAAGGTCCCTGACCAACACTTTCTGAACTACCAGGCACAACCAACTGATTAGAGCTAGCATTAGCAAATCCACAGATGGCACATTTAAGAGAAGTTTCAATGATTACATACTAAAAGTCTTAGTGGAAACAGGCTGCATAAATTAGTGAGAAGATTAGGGATTAGTACATAAATAAATACTTTCAGTCAAAATAATTGCCCAACCATCCCAAACCACTGCCTCAGGTATCCTGTGATAACTACGCTCTGGTTTATTCCTCAATCCATCACATCACAACTCCAAGAAATTAGTTTAAATGTTTCAACAGCAAAAAGTGATTGAGAGTGGTGTAGGAAAGAGTACCAGGTGAATCTGGTACTCAGGGAAGTGGCAACAATTTTTGCATAAGGCAAGGGAAGCTAGCAACATCTTCCCCTTCCTGTGCTTTTCTGCTTCTGCTCTATATGGCTTCCCAGAATTGACAAGGTCTGTCATTTAGGACGGAGATTCCTTTTCATAGGGTGTTGTGCTTCAAACATTGCTAGGCTTCATTCCGAAATATACAGGCCCAGTACTCACTACTCCAATATCCCATGTACAACTGTCTCTAGAAACAGGATCGTGTACAAACGCTTGGGAACTCAAGCCAGGAAAATAAAAAATCAAGCCAAATAGATTAAACCATCTCTAAGAGAAACAACATAGAAGCCCCAAATACAACTGCAGTGTAAGAGGACTCAGGCAGGCACACACCTCACAATTTCACTAGAATTCTTCCTGTACTCCTCTTACATCTGGGCAAAGCAAATAAATTCACATGAGTTAATAGAAGAATCCCTTGGTCTTGGAGTAAAAATGCACAGCTCTTGGGCTCTCCTAGTCTGGACAATCACCCAGCTTGCTCTCAGACATTTGGGAATCAGGTTCTTGCATGTGAAGGCCCAGAGGCTAATGGCAGCACAAACTCCTGAACCTCAAGCAAATTATCAACCAAGACTGGAGAAAAGCGTGGAGAGGGAAGTAGGCGCTTTGCCTCAAGTATAAAGCTCTTCCTCTGAGCTGAAGAGCTCAGGAATGCTGCTTGCAGGCCCAGAGTTCACGCCCCACCAAACAAACAGAAAAAGAAAAAGAAACAGAAACCCATGGAGGGGAGACTCCCGCAGCAATCGCACAGTTCCTACCAGACATAAGTTCCAAAGCCTGAGATTCCCTCAAGTTACAGCTCCCAAGCTCCACTGCACAGAGCTGGGCCTCAGCCTCCTGGCTCCTAAGGCCAAACTGCAGTTCAGGGCACTTCCAGCAGCAAGGCAAAGAAAAGAATCCTGAAAAGGCAGACTTAAAACGCCTATGGTGGGCGGGGAGACGCTTGAGCAAAAGCATCTTCTGCCCCACCTCCACCCTCTGAAAAACAAAAACAAACCAGGACTTTCAAAGAAAATAGCCTCCATGGAGACTATAATTCCTACAATGCTTGGTGCCACCCTGCTACATACCTGGGAACAAGTGGCCTGTGTGCATTGGGACTTTTCTCTGCCTGCTGTGGGAGTTAAGCTCAGTTTCTTCTTGAAAACCACTGTTTCCTCTTGAAATACTTAAGACCAACCAGAAAATGGATATATATGGGGAGAATTGGATGTATTGGCTTTTTGATTCTTAGTTTTAATAATGAACTTGAGGTTATGAGACTGCGTTGCTTATACCTTTCAGTTTATTCAATGCCTGTCTTCTGCTGAATGTAAATTATATCTCTCTTTTGTCTTAAATTTTTTAATACATCCCCTCTTACTTTACAAAGGTACTCACAGCCACTAAACTTATATGTGGGTCATTTCCCATTGCTGTAATGTATATACTGGCATAAAATAGTGAGCTTGTTAGGTAAATATGCAGCATAATACTACTGGTGATTTGGATTTCACAAAATCTAACAATTAATTTTCCAGAAACTCACCAATACTATCTATTAAATCAAATGAGTTTTTCTTTTTCCTGAATTTTGCATTTCATTTAAGGATTTTATGTTTTGTTTTGTTGTTGGTCCTGTGGTTTGACCTCACAGTTTGAGCATTGTCTGTGAGCATTTGCTATGCTCTATTTGCATTTCCTTTAATAATTTCTTCAGGTAACTAGTGAAAAGTTCCCACACAGGGATTCTTATGAATATGGAACATCACCTCCATTTCCCTTCAAAGAGATAGTGGTTAGGGGGGTCAGGGATGAATGCAGGAGAGACAGAAGAGTAAAGTTCAGGCTAGGCTATGTTGATGTGAAGCTTAATCACTTGCAAACCAGTCTGCTTTTGTCTTTTCATTTTGCATGTCAAAATGTCTTTAGAATTCTTACCTCTTCTCTGATCCTAACAGTTCCTCTCAGTAGCTTTAGGCTACACATCTAAGGGACCTCAGACTTGTCTTCTCAGACGTTATCCATGAAAGTGTGCAATAAATCTTTTGTCTCCTGCCACAATCCCATCAGAGCACAAGCAAGGCTCTGAGAGCCAATGAGATGATAATTAAGGAGACAGAGAGATGGCTGATGGCACAATTCTGCTATATTTCTCAAATGCTTGTGTAATATTGTTCTAGACCCACTGTGCCCAAACGTACAAACAGCACACATCTTTCCTCATTTTATTTCAATACATCTTTTCCACCCAAGCCTCCTGTCAGTTAAAGCCTCAGGCCAAAAGCTAGAACACACACTTCCTCACACCAATAAAGAGCAAGGACTTGCAGTCCTGAGGGTGGGAGTCAATGGCCCTGAAGCTTTTGCTCCCATTTTGCCTGCTCCTGGCAGG